TTGAATCTTATATTCTTTCTTTCTTTTATATTAAAACGGTTAAATACCCTTTTTAGTACTCTAATATTGATAAAAGGCCATTTTTGGTCCCTATATTGAAAAGATCCCCTTTTTTGTCTTTAAAGTTTAAAATCTGACCCCTTTTTGGGTCCTCCATTAATTTTTGCTGAGGTGGCACGTTATGTTAACGTAAACATTGGACATGCATATTCCACCTTGTAAAGGTGCTTACATGGACCTAATAAATCCCTTTTATGTAACACTATTCGCGTAAAAAAGGAAAACCCTACAGTTTTTTTTTTTCTTCTTTTTCAATTCCCTCTCCAGAAATCATCTTCTTTCTTTTGAAATTCTTCATTCATAATCATCCATTTACATATGAGATTGGTTAACACATAATTAAGAATCCATAGGAATATTTTCATTAATAAACCCAAACTTCTCCTTTGCAAAACAGATTATTCCCTTTACTCCCTCCCAAATATTAGACTCTTAACCCTTTATTCCTGTTGAATCTAGATCATGAATGCACCAAGTTATGAAGTTCATAGCAACATAAGTCTATCTTATGCAGTTTCAAGCTCAAATATCAAACATGATTTGAATTTTTGTAATGGATCCAAAACTTGGGTTTCGCAAGGAACCCAAAAACTAGGTTCTTTGAGGAACCTAGATTTGGGTTCCTCGCGGAACCCTGAGGAACCCATAATGATGAAGAGCATGGTGAAGGGGATGGTGAAGATGATGAAGAGGATGGTGAAGATAAACGGTCACATGATGATGCTCGAGGATGAAGGTGAGGTGAGGACGAGGATAAGAGTGTGGAGAAAGAAGAAGATGAAGAAATTAAAGTTAATTATGTTTAAATTCGTTTAATTCATAATTAAAATGGAAAATTTTTAATTTGTACACGTGGTCTAAAATTTTTAGATGAAATGCTTGCTTGAATTTATAATTTTCTCCTTATAATTTTCATGTCCTTTATGATACTAGTTATTTAAAAAATAATTAAGTAATTCCGTTAATTAACGTGGCAGCTTGGCAAAAAATTAACGGAGGGACCAAAAAGAGGCTGGATTTTGAATTTTAAGGACCATAAAAGGATTTTTTCCTGTACAGGGACCAAAAAGGGGCTTTTATCAATAGTAAAGGTACCAAAAAGGGTATTTAACCTATTAAAATCAAT